GGTGCCGGCGGGGTGCGAGGCAGTGTGGGGCCCGGCCGGGCTTGGCTTTGGGAGGGCCGAGCTCGGGGCCGAGGACCAGGGGCCTGCGCCAACCAAATATATTGTCCGACTATTGCTTAGCCACCGGAAATACGGCAAACGACCCCTCCGGCCCCCCCCCCCCTCCCCTCCCGGGCCTCTTAGTGGCCACACGCTGCACGCCGCACGCGGAGAGAGGGTCCTGTTGACATTGTCTGACGACGAGGTGCTGCGGACTGATTCCGGGAGTCGTTTCCACTGCTCTGTCTCTGTCGCACTCGTGGGGCGTCCGGTATTGGTGCGAGAGAGACAGAGCGACGACAACGACTCTCGGAATCGGTCTGCGTGCCCCGCCGTGATCCCCGCGGCTCGGCGTGCGGCTCGGCGTGCCGCCGTGTTGTCGCCGCGAAATTGGAGTCAGGCCGACCGAGGCCGTGTGGGCCATGTAGGGCCGATTCCTCACCACAGTGTAGGCGCAGGCAAGGTGCTCGAGAAAAAGCAGCGCCAAAAAAATAAAAAAAGTTGTCGCCTTAGTGTTTGAACCCGCAGCGCAGCGTCGCGTAATCTGCGGAAAAGTGGAAACGGTATTCAAAGGAGAGTGAAATTGAATGAGCGCCGCGTCCACCCCCTCCCCCTCCCCCGCGCAGCCAGCCAGTGGCGCTGCAAGATTAATAGATGGCTAGGCCGGGGCAGACTCTCCCGCCCGTCTATCGCCCGGCCCGGCTCGGCACGGCTCGGCTCGGCTGCCCCACGCGATCCCCGTGCCACAACCGCGCTACTTAGCGGCGCGGAATTCAATCAACAGGCCGGTGGGGGAGGAGAAGGGAGGCAGAGACGAGCGAGTGGAAATGAAACGAAAACGAGCAGCAGTGACACGCCACTTACAGGCATTCCCAAGGACCGCTCCGTCGCTCTGTCTCTCTCGCACTCACGGGGCGGCGCATGGGAGTGCGAGAGAGACGGAGCGACGAAGTGCTCCTTGGGAGTCCACGGCGCCGCCCCGCGATGGCCCGCAGCTTCTGAAGACCGCGGGGATGCACCACCCCGCCCACAGTGGAGCATAAACAAAGACGGCAACGCGTGCGACGGAAAGCACACAGAAAATTAAACGGTGTGCAGTGATTTTTATTTCGCTCTTAAAGGTGGTGGCCTTGCCCGAGGGACGCGGGGCGCTGGAAGTGCCTCCCGTGATGGACGCCCGGCGTGTCCCCACGAGTGGCTGGGGTCGCCGCACCACGCCCGCACCTTGCTGGCACACCGTGCAGCAGGCCGTGGGGACTTATCGAAAAATGATGCGCTCGGTGCAATATCTGGAGCACTCGCCGAACAGGCGCCGGCCAATGTGCCAAAAGAGCCACACGTCCGAAAGGGCGAAAGGTCCGAAAGGGTCAAAGGTCCGAAAGGGTCAAAGGTCCGAAAGGGTCAAAGGTCCGAAAGGGTCAAAGGTCCGAAAGGGTCAAAGGTCCGAAAGGGTCAAAGGTCCGAAAGGGTCAAAGGTCCGAAACGGTCAAAGGTCCGAAAGGGTCAAAGGTCCAAAAGAACAGGGTGGGTCCAATATGCTGGGTGGGCCTTCCCTCCGCAACAGCGCGGAGCGAGCAGCATTGACCTCAACAGTGAAATTTGGGCTTCATCTTGGCCACCCCTCCGGGCCGCAGGGACCCCCCAGGGGTCCTGTCCGACGCCGTATGTAGAAGTGGCCGTTGGACAAGACGTCCGGGGGCAGTGGCGGGGCGGCGGAGGCCTCGGCCAGGCTGTCCAGGCCGGCCCAGGCCCCAGGCCGTGCTGCCAAGGGCGACGACGCCCTCCTCCTTCCCTCACTCTAATGGGCCATAAAGGTCACGAGTGCGGCGGATGGCACTAGAGTCAGCAGATAAGTCGATAAAACAGCTGCCGCGCCGCCCGACGCACTCAACCCCACTTGCGCGGCGGGACGCACGCGGGACGCGGGACGGAAACCCCCAAAACTCTCCTCTCCCGCTCGCAAAATCCCCTCTCCCGCCTCGCGAGCTCGCCTTAGAATTCATACCAGGCCGGTTTCTGGTGGGGTTTGTAAAAACGTGTGGTTAGGTCAGGACGAGGCGATCCGACTCCGACAACAATTCAATCAGCCCTTGTCGGACACTGATGCCACGGCTGACGTTGCGTCCAGCAAACCCTTTTTCCCTCGATCACGGGATGAAGGAAGGAAGCCGGATACAAAAACGATCGAGTAGTCCGAGAAGAGCACGCGTTATCCGACATCTTCGCCGACCGACCGACCGATCGGTCCACCGCGAAGCCAAGCAGAGCCAAGCAGACGATACAGTGCAGGGCGCAGATCGACCAGATGAATCTGACCGACCACTCTCGCGGCAACGCGGCAACAACACAGAGCGAGCGGCGTCGTCCTGTCTTTCTCTTTTCGCGCTCTTTGCGTCCGTCATGCGAGAGAGAAAGGCAGAGTTTCGCACACTTTCTTGTCCGCTGCGAGAGAGACAGCCTTGGAGGACGGTTCAAAGCGCGCCGTCGAATCCGAAATCAAGCGCGGAGAGGATCGGCCTTTGCTGCTGTTGTTGCTGCTGCTGCTGTTGCTGCTGCTACTGCTGCATCGCTGGCGGCCCCGCCTTGTTATTAGAATGGCAATGCAGTCGCGACAGCGGGCGTGGATGGCCGAGTGGATGGCCGTCCAGCACCCCCCCCCCTTCCCCCAACCCCTGGGACACTCAAACAGCAAGCAATCGACGATGAATAAATTCCTTCTTTTCCCGTGGCGAGAAACCCCCGCTACCGCAATGCATGGCTTGGCTTAAACAACGCAACCAAATTTACACAGAAATGCAGTCGATTTTTTCCGAGTGACGTTTCGCTACAGTAACGGCCGTCCTATTGACTTTTGGCAAGTTCCATCCCCGGAACGAAGTCCCCGGTGACTGGGGCAAACGGACAGACGGGCAGGCAGACAAGAGGGCCTTGTTGAGCACGGCGCGGTGACCGTTGCAACAACAACACGCCTCATACATCAGAGAGAGAAATGTGCCACTGACAAGACCGGTAGGGGGAGTCGGAGAGAGAGAGAGAGAGAGAGAGAGAGAGTAAGAGTGCTCCTGAGCGATAGCTTGCTGGCGGGTAGTTATTGGGGGCATCCGTCTGCGGTGAAGAATTAGAAATACGAATTCCCTGACGTCGCACAGCTTGTGAAACGTAACCTAGCCTGACCTGACGCAACAAAAACAAAGCCTTGTTGTTGTTGCTTTTGTTCGAACGGTACCACCACCACCGCAGTCAAGAGGATCCCTTTCGCTGCCACGAGACCTCGACGCCAGGTAGAGTTTCGACTCGTGAACGTTGAAGAAATTGCAATAACAAAACTGCCTAGTCAACTCTGTAAGCCAAAACGCACACGCCGGTCTGACGACACAGACGATTGTGCAACCCTAACCTAACTTCAAAATTTTAGAAGGCAGCGTTCTTGTCACTTAGCTGAACTGACCCGTGTAGTCCCCGAATTTTTTGAGGTTAGGTCATTCTCCTTTCTCTTTCTTTCGCGTGTAGCCGCGTGCGTCGGTTCGTCCGGCCGGTTTAGCCAACCGGGTTAACGGCATTACCGCCGCCACGCCGCCATCCCGAGGGTGCGTTCTGCTGCAGTGGCTCCACTCCGCCGGCCGGTCCGCCCGGCCAGATGGTCAATTTCTCATCGACCGCCACAAATTTCCAAATTGACGCGCTCGTGTGTGTGTGACAGTGTGGGGACTGCACGGCCACATCGCGCCGCCAACTCGTTTAGACCTTTCCCCCGCGCTGCAGCTCAACCCCTCCCCGCGAGCCAGCCGGAGGGCCGGAGGGTTGGCCGACCTGACTGGCATTTAGTTGTAGCTACAAGGCGCGAAAGTGTTGCTATCCATCAAATTCCCATACACTGAACATGCACGCCAGGTCCCTCCCTCCCTTTTTTTCGATCCCCCTGTCGGCCTGCCCTTCAGCCCTACAGCCCTGCAGCCCTTCAGCGCGGCCTGCGCTGGACTGGGGTGCAAAAATATCCGCCCGGAATATATATTTGCAACGTTGCCAGCCCTGATTGGGCTCCGATTCGGCTTAACCGCGTGGGTTTGGCGGCCCCCTCCCCTTTCCCTATTCCCGCGGGAAAACAATTTTCATTCTTTCCGGACGCACGGCGTGGCGTCACGGCGGCAGCGCGCGGTGCGCAATTTGACGGCATGCGTCGTCTGCTCGCGTCGTCTGCTGCACTGCACTGTTATGGTGATGGCGGCATTCCTTGCGGTGCATTTCGGGCGCGGAGTCGCCCGGAAGTGTGTGATGGCCCTCCAGTCCGCCCGGTTCGCGAACGCGAGCAGTGCCATTGTTTTGTTTTTTGAAGGAAATTGTGTTTGAGAGAGTGGGACCACTAGGTGACTAACTTTGATTTCCGGCATTTGCCATCCACCGTTCTCGAGATTCGCCGACGCCACCTCGACGTGGAATTTTTGGCGCCGGCCAGCAGCACTCGCTGAAAGGGTGGCCGGCCTGCCGGGCCGCGCTGCCGCGCTACGCTCCGGCCGTACACCTTGTACTGGCTGCCGCTGGCCACGGCGGCGCGGCACGGCGCGGCACGGCACGGCACGGCGCGGTCTCACGGCTTGGCCCGGACAGAGAAGGATGGCCGTCGGCCGGTGCTCCTTGGACCGTGATAACTGGCTGATGGAGGGGCCGGGGCAGGCGGGCCAGGCGGCCAGGCGGCAGCCAGGCGGCAGCGCAGGCCAGCACCCTAGCCCACTCCGCCAATCCCAACATACACGTCCCTTAATCACTCTGTGCAGGGCACTGCCGGGCCAACCTCGGCGCAGGCCGTGCCGACCGTGCGCACTTTTACACAGCACCGCCTTGAAATCCAGGGGGAAAGCCGTCGGTTGTGAATTTTCGAAGTTGCCCAATTTGACGTTGCTCGTTGCTTTACAGACGTAGATGGATTTCCTAATTAATTTTGTTGTTGTTGTTTTTTATTTCAGGATGGGGCCCCTCTACGCGCCCTTGCTGTCCATCCTGGTCGGGCTGGTGTCCTCGCACCTGCCCGCTACCGGTAAGCAGTGCTTGCAGTCCGGCTGGAGCGTCGCCTGGTCTGGAGAAAATGAGGGTCTTAGGTTCGATTCCCACGAGGTGAAACAAATAATTTCTAAACTATATTGTCTTGACAATAGAGGAAAAGATTCTACCTTCCGTTGATATTGGATCAAAATATGTTTCATCGTTTTGAACAATTAATGGGGGAAGACGCTTGCGGTGTAGCGTACCACAGCGAGCCGCACAGCCGCACGCAAAGGCAGGCAAGGCGATGGGTGCCGTCCAATCACGTCAGTAAAACGGCTGCAATACGGTCGCGTGGGGGGCGCAGGTAAATTAGAGTTGCCACCGGCTCGGCGGGCACGCCGGGCTAGGGTTGCCACCACCGCAGGGCCGCAGGGCCGCAGCCCTTCAAAGGATCTCTCCGCCCTTTTACCGGGGATGAATATACAGCCCATCAGCGGCCGGGCCGATGCCTCCGCTGTTCTGGCGGCGCTGGCACTGCTGGCTCGGCGACGACCCAACAGTGGTACGGTCTGCGCGGGTCTGCGCGGGTCTGCGCCGCCAGGCCGGGGCGGTGTACACGGTCTACGGCCTCGGGTCCGGTCACAACAAAGTCACTCCGCAGCGCTCCGCAGCGCTCCGCAGGCATGTGCACTGCCAACTCCGGCTGGCGCGGCCGGCCTCGGCACACACGACCCGGCGACCGCGGACCGCGGACCGGGGCCGCCGCCGTGGGGCCCTGGCCGCCCCTGGCCCTTGTCGTCAAACAAACACCAAGGGCTCACGGCCCGTATGGCTACAAACATCTCACTTGCAAAGCGCACAAGGCGAGCGCGAGCTGGGCGTGGTCAGTTCGGGGACCTCGGCGCGCGGCGTCGCACGGCCGAGGTCATCCTGGAGTGGTCCTGGAGCGAGGTCCCGGAATGACATCTTTAAAGGACATCCTGGAGCAACCCCTGGAGTGACGTCCTAGAACGACGTCCTGTAAAATCGTCCTGGAGTGACCTCCTGGGAGGTCCTGGAGCGAGGTCCTGGACACCGCAACACGGCCAGGAGGTCCTCGGGCGCACGATTTATTGAAAGGGTGGACCAAGCCGGGCGGCAAAGAGGGTCGGACAGCCCAGCCGAGCTTGGGGGGCCCAGCCAGGCCAAGCCCAGCCAAACTTGCTTAGTTGCCCATGCACGTTCCCCCTCTCGCTCGCAAATTCATACGAGTGACTAACCGGCCTGCGGTGCGCTCGGCTCCACACTGAATCAACACAGTCATTTCGCGTCCTTTCCCTCATGATCTTCGGACCTGCCTGCCGGCTGTCTTCGCCAGGTCGGGGCTTCGGGTTGGCCCCTCCGGGTTGGCCCCTCCGGGTTGGCCCCTCCGGGTTGGCGCCGCAGATTGAATGAATAAGGACGGATTTAGGGCGGAAAACGAGACTCGTGGGAACAGACTCACATGTGGAATCAGTTTGGGTCGGCGAGACGGCGGCGAGAGGGAGAGAGAGGGGTGGCGCTGGGAGGGGAGAGAGAGGGCGCGAAAAAGTTGGTCGCGGCGCACGCGCGCTGCGAGGGGCCGGTCATCACAGCGTCGCTTGCATCCTCGGAGAATCGTTGGTTTATATCCGGTTTTCAGCGCAGTGATTCGTAGCGACTGCAGGCTGATTCCGACAGTCGTTTTCATCGCTCTGTCCGTCCCGCATCTCTACGAGAGTCACTCTGCTGGCTCCGCGCAGCGCAGTACTTCCAGTGGCGGTGCGCGTTGCGAGGCTAGTCGTGTTGTAACTCTGATCTCGGTCTGGGAGTGGCTTCGCTCGCGGCTGCTTGTGCCGCCAGGGCTGTGCCTCGGCGGCCCGGCCTCGGTGCCTGCCGCAGGGGAGGCCTAGCACGGCCCAGCACGGCCCGCCCCGGGGGAGCGCTCGGCGGCCGCGCTACGGCCTCGACGGCCTCGCCGGCGACGCTGCCGGCGGAGACAACATTTAAGCCCCTCATCTGCGCACCAATGGTCCCCCTTATATCGCGCCGCTTCGTCCCGCCAGTCTCCGCCAGTCTCCCCCAGCGCCACTTAGTTTCCACTTTTACTGCCATGTCTCGCTCCGGGCTGCACGCGTAATTATTGCTAATCTGTCCCGGCGCGTGGCACGGCGTGGCACCATTGACCTCCCCAAGCACCCCCTGTTGCCCCTCTTCCTGGTGACGGCCCGCAATGCGCAGCCAAGGGCTGCAAGCCTTGCTGCAGGCCCTCCCCGCAGGCTTCTTGGCACCCGCACTCCTCGCTCTGTCTCCAGAGTCGCCAAACAGGACTCGAACCGAGCGTGTGACCCTGCCAATGGATTGCTCTCCGAACGAGGAGTCCATTGGTGGGGTCACACGTTAGGTTCGAATCCTGTCTAGCGACTCTGGAGCTCAAAACGCTTCTAGAGTTTTGGCCGCCTGCGCCGGTCTTCTGGCCCACTGTGCAGTGGCGGCAACACAACACGCGAGTGGCTGTGTTGCGCCGCGTCTCCTCCAAGTCCCCCATTGTCTGCCCCCGAGTGTGCTCCAGCCGCTCTAGCAGCTCCAGGCGCCGCCGGGGTCTCGGCCTCTGTGTGTAAGCAGGTTGCTGCTGAGGAATCTGGCGAGAAAAACACTCTGCGTGAATGTGTGTGTGTGCGGCGCAAAAGAGCCGGGCCCCAGGAATGCTGCGGAAGGGCCCCTTGTAGTGTATGAGGTTGGGGAGGCACGGCCGGGGCACGGCGGTGCGGCGGGCTGAGGGAGGCAAAAGCAGACACTGCGTGTGAATTTGTGATAGCGGCGTGATTAAGAGACAGCGGGCGGGGCGGGGCGGGGCGCGGTCGGGTCGCCGAGGCGCGGCATGGCAACGCGCTGTGGAAGGAGTCGCTTCAATACACTGCGGTGAAGTAGAGGGAAGGCTTAGCAGAGCAGTTGGCCAAAATGTAGACGGATGGTGTGTTGCGGGGGCACGTCGCGCGAACGCTTCGTGGTGTTGCTGGTGAGCCTTTGAAAATCGTGTTTTGGGCCGACTTTAAGCAGCCACTGCGTCCGATCCGAGGCGGGCCTTTGTACTTTCTCAACGGGCATTTGGTCTTTGGACCTTCCTTTAGCGTGCCTTTGTTATGGAGGGCGATTATGCGCCTTAGTTTGGGAGCAGTATTGTCTCAAAGTTGATCAAAACCGACTTTAAAGGCATTTTTGACTGTTTTGATCAACTTTGAGCCAATCCTTCTCACAAACTAAGGCAGATAATCGCACTCCGTAACAAAGGCATGCAAAAGGAAGGTCCAAAGACCAATTGCCCGTTGAGGGAGGACGAGATACCGCCTCGGATCAGACGCAGTGGCTGCTTAAAGTCGGCCCAAAACACGATTTTTCAAAGCCATTTTTGACCGTTTTGATCAACTTTGAGACAATACTGCTCCCAAACTAAGGCAGATAATCGCACTCCGTAACAAAGGCACGCAAAAGGAAGGTCCAAAGACCAATTGCCCGTTGAGGGAGGACGAGATACCGCCTCGGATCAGACGCAGTGGCTGCTTAAAGTCGGCCCAAAACACGATTTTTCAAAGCCATTTTTGACCGTTTTGGTCAACTTTGAGACAATACTGCTCCCAAACTAAGGCATATAATCGAACTCCGTAACAAAGGCATGGAGGGGTCCCGTGGGGTTGCGAAATTTTTCCTGGCGGTCGCGGAAATATTTGGCTACAAATTTGGGGTCGCGAGCCGAAAAAGGTTGAGAACCGCGTTGGACACGGTTTGACGGGGAGTCATTCACCGCCTGCCTTATTTTCCCCGTCCTTGCTCCGCCTTGCGCTGGTTGATCGATGCCGTGTTCCTCTGATCGTAAGTCGCCGGTTTAACGGCCGCGTGGAGGGCGGGGCGGGGCGGGGCGAGAAGGGCCCGCTGCCTGTTCCCCGGCCTGGCCAGGGAGACCTATTCGCTGGGGGTCTTAAACAACATGACAACATTTTTCCTTCAGCCGCAGCAGCCCCCCCCCCCTCCTGCCCCTCCCCCAGACCCGATCCGTGCACCTCAGGAATGCCGTGATTCTGGCATAGGGCGCTGCAGAGGCGAGGAGGGGGGGGGGGAAGTCCGTTAGCTTGGCCTTGGCGGGCCGTGGCGGGCCTTGGCGACATTGGTGTACCGTGCCGAAAAACAAACGGGATTTTTTTTCTTGCCAAAGGTCAGTTTGATGTCTGATTCTCAGCGAGCACGTCCTCGGCGTCGTCGGCGTCCTCATCGTCGGCATCCTGGGCGCGTCGTCGCGCTCCTCCTCCTGCTCCCCGTCCGCGACATGCATGTCCAAATCCCGCTATCCGCCCCTCCGTACCTTCGGTGGAGATTTCCTCCCGTGCACTCCGACGTGGCATTTTATTACGGCCCGGTGGCTTCCAGCCTGCTTCCAGCCCGGCGTGCTTCCAGTGCCTCGGCCCCCTCCCTCAGCAGCCCCTCCACCCCAACCTGGCTGGCGTCGGCCCGGGAGGCGGCGAGGCCGTGAAGGCCGTGAGGCGGCTCAGATGGAGGCGGCATTCTGCGAATCCGGTCGCCGTCACGGTCCCCGCCAGGGTGCCGGCCAGGCTGCGCAGTGGTCCGTCGGCCGGGCCGTCTGTTTCCGAGATACCATGCTGCTTTGCGTGCCCACTCCGCACACAGTCCGTCGGGCTCACAACAAATTGATCTCGAGCAGTTACGTTGAAGAGATTGATTTTACAAAATGACTTTAACCTCCGCGAATGCGAGAGAGAGTCTGCTTTGCTGGATGGCGCATTATTCTGCGTAGCGAGTCGAGGGGGTCGCTTTCTTGTTTGTCGAAACCCAAAGTTAGATCATCTCGGGTGTCGCGGGGTCAAGACGCGCCTTATCCTCGCATGCATCCCGTGCACATCCATCTCCCGGGCTGCTCAGCCACGCGTGTCCCCCCCCCCCCCTAGGATTGGCTAGCCCCCTTGCTCCGCGCTGCTCCGCGGGGTCGCGGCCCGTCCCGTATCTTTCCAAGACGCTAGACCGGCCAAGGGTAAATATGTGTAC